GTAATTCCTGCAGTTTTAATACGGAACTAGTAGAAATCTGGTGGGACTTGTTGAGAGCACAAAGTTAAATTGATTCTCTTTGCAGAGCTGGGCTGGGCACAGCCATGTGATGTCTGGAGTACCGGCTGCATTCTGTTTGAGTATTACCGTGGCTTCACACTCTTCCAGGTATGATTCTTTCAAGAGGTGTTGTACCCTAAGAATCTGTGATGTCTAAAAGGGCTCAAACAGGTGAAGTGAGAAGGGAAATACAGATCAGGCACTAAAAATCAGAAGCTGATTTTGAAAACAAGTCTGGGGTAACTCACGGTTTGAGGACTTGTGCCTTGCTGGAAGGGTAAGGTTCAGATCACTTCTGGTTTTCTCACTGTGCCTGTGAAGAATAGAAAAATCAAGAGAGGAAGGAGAGGTGGACAGGTGGAGGCTTGTCTGTTCTTCCCCTGTACTCGTATAGCAAACTTTTGTCATCAGAGCTCCCAAGTTCTGAATTAATGCACCATTGCTCTTTTCCTGTGCAGACCCATGAGAATCGTGAGCATCTTGTCATGATGGAAAAAATCCTCGGGCCAATTCCATCTCACATGATCCAGAAAACTCGGTAAGAACCTCCTCTTAAACTCAAGACAGCCCAGCCCGCTGTTTGTGGCTGGTTGCTCAGGATACAGGCTCTCAACTGTACAGATAGAACGAGGGGAGACATGCTCGAGGTACATCCCACCAGCAGCCTTACCCAACACCACCTTTCCTTTGCAGGAAGCAGAAATATTTCCACAATGGGAACCTGGTCTGGGATGAGAACACGTCCGATGGGAGATATGTCCAGGAGAACTGCAAGCCACTGCGGGTAGGTGCTGCACTGCGGCTGGGGCAGGGCAGGCTGTGTGGCCAGGCCAAACCGCTGTGCTGTTCCCTTCCCTGGATCAGCAGTGGGGGGCTTAAGGGTGGGAATTGTCCTTGGCAACTGGATTCTAGAGAGCCCCAAAATCTCATCTGCAGAAACAGAAGTTTATTGGTCTGGCTGAAGCAGGACAGGTGCTAGGGAAGAGGAGGGAGACTACTTCAGGATGGGAGATGGCTGTTGCCTCGCTGTGTCACAAAACTGGGGCCTGGGTCCCTGTCCCAGCAGAGCGCTACACCCCTCTCTCTGTCCCCCCCGCCCTTCTCTTGCAGACGTACATGTTGCACGACTCACTGGAGCACGCACAGCTCTTTGACTTGATGAGGAGGATGTTAGAATTCGACCCTTCCCGGAGGATCACGTTCTCGGAAGCCCTCCTGCATCCCTTCTTTGCCGGGCTCTCCGCAGAGGAGCGGCTGCTGTGCGGGCGAGGCACCAGCCGGGACCTGAGCAGATGACGCCTGGGGAGGGGGTGACGCGGCCGGCTCTCTGCATCCACTGGTGCTCCGGCCCCGCTCATGCTCTTCTCCGAGTTCAGAGGGGCTAGGGCACTGTGACAAGGACCCTGGGGAGGGGAGGGGAAGAAAAGCTACATTGGAAAGCACAGATTTGTCTATTTATATGTTGTAAAGTTAAAATAAAGTGTTTCTTATTGTTTGATACTTCCCTTGTAGGCAGGTTCAGGGTTCTCTTGCTCCCCAGTTTGCTTTGTCTGCAAAGTAAGATGGAGATACTGAGAAATTAGCAGGAACCTTTGCTTCACTGGAGGACAAAAAGTGAGGGTGAGTGGACTGAACTCTCCCTGGCCTTGGTCCTCCAAACAGCACAGAGCAGCAGGAAGGCTTGTTCCAGCTGTGGTGTCAGGCTCTAGAATGATAGCAGACAAATAAATAGCTGCACACAAACAGCACACATGTATAGTTGCACTTTATTTCAGGGCATCCCCCAGTAGCGGCAGGAATTAGTTGTTACAAATATTAGGTCACAAATGGAATATCAAGCAGTGACACAGTGCAGTGATCTTCACATGTTAGTGACCAGAGCAGCACTCGTGGGCAGTTCCTACGATGGTGGTTAAGGTTGTGGGTAGAAACTATCTAATCTCAAAACACAGCTAAAAAAAAGTGTTCCATTCTTTGAATTAAATTGGGCAATGTGGGGGAAGGGGCAGAAGTGACCCAGACCCTTTCTGGGTCTCTGAGTTCTCCAGAAGAGCTCACACCTGCACAAAAGATGCATTTTGTGGGTGAGGCCAGTAGAAAGCCTTTGTATCTGAGGGAAAGCACAGCCGAAAAATCTACTCTCATCTCCAGAAAAAGAGCACACCATAAAGTTTAACTGTGTCAAACACAGCCCAAAGCTGCCTGCTGTGCCCTAAACGCTCTGCACGGGCAGGGACTGGAAATCCCTTTCTTTATGTGAGGGTTTGTACCCTCCTGTTGGGCAACATGGCTCCATTTTTTTAGTTGTTTAAATATGGGGAACCCCGTGCTGCACAGGTGGCAATGCCTGGGGCCTCAGTGTTTTGGGGCTGGGCAGCAAGTACAGACCTGATCTCAGCCAAAACGTCTTTACAGGGTTCAGTGCCCTTCTGGGCAAATAACCAGCCACTGGCACAGCAGCGTAGAGGCAGAAAAGGACCCTGTGCTGAAACCTTGAGTATTTCTACACTGTTACTGCTTAGTGCATACAATCTACAGTTTAACAGCCAAACCCAGAAGAGGCAGAAAGAAAAGCCTACAGCCTGGTTCAAGGAAAGCAGAGATTGATACAGCAAGTTCTCTTAAAGAGTCTTGAGCAAAGAAAGTGAAAATAAGGGGACTAAAGCTAACACTGTACAGCAACAACCAAGGGACAGCCATCCACTTTAAGCCAGCCACTGCTCCTCTGCCTGGCTCAAGATTAGATGAAGCTGAAACAGCTGAAGAAACAAGGCAAAGGGAAGCCTCACATTTGTATTTGAAATAACTAGCACCACTGCCATCCCTTCCCAGTGCAGCCAAGTCAGAATCACAGCTTGTGAAACACCACTACAGTTCTAGCTGAAACACAGCTCACCTGAGGAACAGGTGCTTCAGCTCTGCCCTTTCCACGGGAGAGGAACCACTCAAGGGCAGAGCTACACCCCATCACAGCACTGACAAGTCATCCAGCTGCTCATCATGAGCCAGCAGATGCAGTTCAGTGGTCCAACCTCAGCGGGGAAAGCAGCTCAGGGGAACAGGGTTCCGGACACCGTGAGGGGCAGGGCCCTTCGTCCTGCTGAGGTAGATACAGCAAGGGGCAGGCGGCCTGGCAGGGGAAGAGACCTTGGGCAGGGGCAAGCCCAGAGCTCACCAGCCTCCTGGTCTAGGCTGGGTCTTCCCCCATCACTCCACACTTTCAGGCAATATTTATTACTCAACTGGTTTTCAACCAGGGCAGTCTCTTCCCTCAAACTTTGTTCTTGGCCTTTGTTCTAAACAGATGAAAGAGAAGGACGAGAGCCTGATCTGTAAATCCTCACCCCTCAGAGCACAAGTGGGTCAACAGGTTTGCTAAGCAGGACTCTACCTGCTTAGCAGAGCCCAGCCACAGAGCAGCTACGAAAGTAGGTGCTCATGTCCCTATGCTTCAGCCTCAGAAGGGATCCAGCTTCCCTGGAGAAAAGGCACCGTCTGAAGCTCTCCCAGATGCCAGAACAGGGTCTGTGCAAGGTGTAGGTACCTGCAGGAGTTCTGGGGACAGGCAAGGTACCAGAAGAGCAGCAGAGCTTCAAGCACTGCCCACACTCACAGCATCGGGAGCAAGCAAGGAGCTGAGCCCCTCTGCAAGAAGAGGGCCCGTGCCTTGCATCTGCCCCTACAGCACCTCCAGCACTGCTCCAGGCTCAGCGCTTCCCCAGCTCAGCTACAGGGCACTGAGCTTTCAGAAAGCATGCACAGAGCCAGCACGGACAGCTTCTCAGCTTGCCCCTGCTCTAGGCACTGCACCAAGGCTCCATCGGGCCAACAAAATGAAAGCAGGAAAATGGGGAGCGTGTGCGGCACAGGAGCAGTTAGCAGAGCAACCCGGGACAGATCCCCTACGGTAATACAGGGGAGAACATCCTGCCGTACCCCTCCAGGAGGGCAGCAGCTCTCACCACGCCATCTCCTGCAGGTAAATGGGACCATGGGAGCTGAGGACCCAAGTCCTTCCTTAAGCTGGTTCCCAGCACGTGGGTGCACGCACATGAGCCCACCCTACACACAGGCTCTGAGCCCAAAGGGAACAAATGGATCCATGACCTACTTCCCAAACCACACTGAGTGTAGGAAGGATACTGGAAGCACTGGGGGAACTTACCCAAACATCACCTGCACCACACAGCACGCAACAAACTCAGAGTGACACTGCCCTGCTTCACTATGCTTTCCCTGATTCAGCCACTCACTGTGCCAGGAAAAAAAAAACCAAAACAAAAACCCCAAAACAAAACAAAAAAAAACAAACGCACAACTATGCTGGAAAAGTTTTTTTCCAAAACACACCTCACTCCCATAGACCTGGGCTTCACCCACTAAGTGAACAAACAAAAAGCCAAGAGAGTATATAAGCAAGTAAGGCCTAGCTGAGGACATCAGTGTTCCCAGAGCATGTGTGACCTGAGAGCTTCTGGCTCCTGACAAAAGCTTTCCAAAGAGGGAATGCTCTCCTTGAGGGGCTGGAGGGTCCAGGAGGGAGAGCGAGCTACACCTGCCTTCAGGAACATAAAAGAGGGGAGGGGGAGTCAAAAAGAACGAAACCAAATCCTCCCTCCCGATACAACTTCAACAGAAGGTATTTCTACACGATCAAGGGGTGCTGTTCCCACCAGGATGCCCTTGCTTGGTCCATTGGCCCAGCAGGACAGACACACATCTCAAATCTCCACACCACCCGTCATCTGTACCACCTCCACATACACCCCCTCACTAAACAGCCTCCCGGCTGGGCCTGGGCAGCAGCGGCCACCTTCGCCGGGGACAGACACCATCTTCCTGCGTGTTCCTTCATACAATGGCACAAGAGAATGAAAACATCTTTGCAGGAACATCCGCTTCCTTCTTTTTTTGTTTCATTTTATGATTATTCCTTTTTCTTTTTTTAAATACACAATGTCTCTTCTGGAAGGAAAACTCTCCAGAACTTCACATCCTTAAGGCGTCACGAGTTTACTAGTCAGGATCCACTGGACAGCTTATTTGACAGACCACCTCCTCCTCTTCTCTCACTTCAGAGCTGTGTGGCTGACTGGGCTCTAAGTGGAATGCAGGGGGATGACAAATTTGCAGCCGAAGGGTGAGTGGTAGTTTATTCCCACTTCTTGAAAGACCTTCTGGGGAATGCCAATGTCACAGAGATACACGCGCCCTGCCCTCTCGCCCAGGGGCAGGGGCAGGCCCAAGGCCAGCGACCACTTGGCATCAATGCCCTGCTCCATCTCGTTTATTGGAGGGTCTATGCTGAGGACGGGTGCCCGGTTCTGGTTGGCCCAGTCCACAACTGCTTTGTACCAAGGCTGATCTCTCAAAAAGGCATTTTCATGACAATCTAGGCAGTTGATCACTAGGTCAACAGGGGTATCTGGAAGATCTGAAAGAAACACAAACACCATTGAGCACTGAGGACCAACCCCAAACCATGAACTATAAGGCTCAGTGCCTTCCCTCCTTGCATTGCCAGCAGATTTTTTCATTCTTGCCTCCAGCACCCATAGTCTCACTGCATACGGTCTGGCTTTACCTGTGGCTACTACTGTCCTTCTGCAAAAGACATCAACACCAATATTTAAAAGCTCTTCAGCCCTCTGGAGAATGTTCACAAACTCAGGTACAAAACCTCATGAAGTGGTCAGGACTTGAGCAGCCCCAGATGCCACTGCTGAGCTGGACCACCAGTCCAGGCCACCCAGAAAAGCAGTGGTGTGCTCTCTCCATCATAAAAGGACCATTTTATATTCCACAAGCTAAGAAAAAGGCTGTTTTTCTGGCACACACCAACTAAGGCTGCTCTGGAAAGGCAGTTTGTGTGCTGCACTGCTGCCTGTCTCGCTGAGCTCCGTTGGCCTCACTGCACTCACCTGCTCTGTACCACATTTGCTGCATTCCTCTTACCTGACAGCCCACAAAGTCCTTGGTGCAAAATCTTCTGTAATCTTTTGCAACAGGCAAGTAGCTCAGCCAGCACAGACCCCCACTCTGCCAAAGCTCAAAACATTGTGCAGTGCCCTAATTCCCAGGTTTAGTTTCTCCCAAGAAGTTTAAATGAACCAGGTTTGAAAATACCGCCGGTGAAAAGACAAACAGAAGGCAGCTCTCACACAGAAGATAGAGCAGCAGTTTATTCTAGGGCATACTAAGAGATGTGAATTTTAACAGCTGCCAGGACTAGTTCAGCAAAGCTGTCTGCTTGGATTGAAGCAGCAGTTGGATTGCTCATTGACTTGCAGTTTCAATATGCTGAACAAGGAAGGCCTTTTTCCTAAGAGAATGGCTGGTCTGACTCAGATCCATACGGCAGCTCTTCCGTATTTGCTCATACAGGAAACATCTGTATCAGCACAACTGCTCCACTGTTGAACCTCTCAAGTCTCCGCTGTCCCGCCAGCCTCCCGGCAGCCACCGCCTGCCTGTGACAGTGCCACTAGATGGTGCCACCGGACCGGGCAGGCACCGGGGAGAACGGCTCTGCTCCCCACTCCCTCACCTTTGACGCTGGACACCTGCTGGCCTTGCGTCTTGCTGAAAAGGTTCAGCTCGTTGGTGATGGATTCGAGCATCTTGACAAAGTTGGGTAAGAAAAGGATGACGTGGACGTCGTGGTTGGAGAGGTGCCGTCCGCAGCTGATCCCCTGGGCCCCCTTCACATGGGGGCCGCACAGCAGGGCTACCGTGGGCCGCTGGTGCACGTTCTTCGGGTTCAGCCTAAACGCAGACAAGAAAAGACTGTTAATAAACCCAAGAATCTCTTACCTTCTTCCTGCAAGAGAAAAATAGTAAAATGCAAATTGACAGGTGTTTTGCAAATCTTCCATTGCCTCAGAAGAAGGAACCCACATCCTTTCATAGCACTGACGCTAGAGCCCTGCTCTGCTTGCAGGTTCCCTTCAAGACTTTTTTGCACCCGCAGCAGAGACAAGGTCCCAGTCTATGGCGGTTCATCATGAAGCCAACTTGTACTTCTAAAGCACAGGCCATTTTCACTGCTCGTGTAGTAAGCCTGAGCTCAATGCTATTTCAGTTTTAGGAGGCTTTTTTTCTCTGTCGCTCTGATTCTTGAAGAAAGGTAACAAAACAACCTTAAAAATATGGGGCGAGTTACCCTGTCAGCAGAGCCATAGTTAAAAAAAGAAGACATTTCTACTCCCTAAACCTCATCAACTGCAAAATAAAGTTGATTTCTTTAAATGGCCTGCAAGTCATCAAGGGTGGCTTATAGTAGGATTTTCAGCTGATAGGGTCAGTGCTGCCTGGTATGTCATCACTTACTGCTCTCAATCAAATGATCAGGTCTGGCAAAGTACTAGAGAATAAACAGATGGAGACTCAAGGCTTACCTTCCATTTCAAGAGCAAGTAGTTCGGAGCAGCTATCAACAACATGAAAATACACACGCAATTTTGTATTTTTTTTATCAGCAATAGCGTGGCCAGCAGGGACAGGGAAGGGATCTTACCCCTGTACTCTGCACTGGTGAGGCTGCACCTCAATTACTGGGTTCAGTTTGGGCCCCCCCCAAAAAAGACCATTGAATGACGCGAGCATGTCCAGAGAAGGGCAACGGAGCTGGTGCAGGGTCTGGAGCACAGGTCTGATGGGGAGTGGCTGAGGGAACTGGGGGGGTTTAGTCTGGAGAAGAAGAGGCTGAGGGGAGACCTCCTGGCCCTCTGCAACTCCCTGACAGGAGGGTGCAGAGAGGGGGGATGAGTCTCTGGAGCCAAGGAACCAGCACCAGGCCAACAGGGAATGGCCTCAAGCTGTGCCAAGGCAGGGTCAGGCTGGCTCTGAGGAAGGATTTCTTTGCAGAAGGGGCTGTTGGGCATTGGAATGGGCTGCCCAGGGCAGGGGGGGAGTCCCCATCCCTGGAGGGGTTGAAGAGTCGGGCTGAGCCAGTGCTGAGGGATCTGGTGGAGTTGGGAACGGTCAGGGGGAGGGTCATGGTTGGACTGGAGGAGCTTCAAGGGCTTTTCCAACTGAGACAATTCTGTGATTCTGTGAATTGTCTGCTCACATCAACAACTATGCTAAGCGCAGGCACAGAGCAGCAGACCTCTTCAAAAGAGTCATCACATATTTATGCAAAGAGCAGTAAGTGCACTCCAAACCTGCTAGCAAATCGGGCCCTCCAAAAAAGCAGGATATTCTCAGTTTGGTTGTAGATGCCTGAAAGCTAATTTAGCACTGCAAAAAGCTAAGCATCACTTTGTTTTCATGAAATTACTTTTGGTTTTACTGATATTGTGAAATTGTAACATGTAAAAACAAGGGAAAGGTTTACTTACTTGCAAAAAGGACAGGCTCACTAGATATTCTGCAATGGTTTAATCTGCCTTGGGCTACACCTGTGCAAAACTCACGTTCCCTGAAAAAATTCCCAATAAGTGGAGAGAAAAAGCTCGGGTTTGCCTTTGACTCAATAGTTCTGCTTCTAGGACACAGGAGCAAAAAAAGAAACCCTTAGTAAGTCATTCATCTGAAATGGTATGTTCAGCCAGCCCTTTCCCACAGAGACTAGAGATGGGGAAAAAGCAGCATGAACATGGAATCCTACTGTAAACCTTCCTCCTACCTCAGTAGCCTGAGCCTCACACTTGTTCTCATCATTATTATGCAGGAAGAGGCCAATATATGAACTACACCACAGGTCTGCAGGGCAGTGGGATGAGTTGTTTCTTTCTGAGGCAAGGAAAACAGAGAGATGATGGCTGCCTCCAGCTGCAGACCACTGAGGGACTAGCATGAGCAGCAGCAGGCATCCACATCACACTGACCTCAAGGGCAACCTCTCAGCCTTTTTTACCTCACCCCGCTTAGTGGAACAAGACAAGCTGAGCTCTGCTTAGAGAGGGCAAACCCACAGCAGCACGAAAGGGAGCAGCTTTACCTGTTGGGTCCCCCCAGGAGGCTCAGGGCCATCTGACTTGCACACACTCCCGTCATCTCCAGCCTTCGCTCCAGAGTCAGCCCGTGCTTCTCAGCAACCGAGAGCAGCTTTTTGTGAAGCTCATAAGACACGCTTGGAACGACCAGCCCAGAGTCTAGGGTTCAAAGAGAGGGGAGGGAGGAAATCAGAAATGGGTATAATCAGAGACTCTTCCAGAATGCTCCAGACTGGCAAGGTTTTATATAACAGCACTTAGAAATAATGACAGTGAAAAGGCTTATTAGCTGTTACCAAGGGTCTGCTTAAGCCAGTAATTCAGGTTCCCTCCAAGACCAGCAAATGAATTCGAACTAGTGCATCAGTCAGCTTACTCTGAGTGAGGAAGAGACAACTAAACACAACCGCTGGGCTTGAAATAATAGCTTTCCACAAAATTTCAGCAGGCAGCTGGCAATTTTAGCAACACATGGACCGAGAAGGCCTTTTTGACTTTCAGACTGAATATTAAGTTCTTTCTTAATGGTCTCCAGGCCACCAGCACTTTAACTCATGCCCAAACACAAACAAGTGTTGCCAATCCTGGTCAATGTCAGAAGAGAAGCTATGAACCAGACTTCCCACCAAAAAAGCCTGGATGCATTCTGCCTCCTGACATCAGTAGTGACCAGCTCCAAACTTCCAGCCCCTAATTCACATAACACAGCAAAACAAGACATCCCATATTTACTAGGTAGGTGTCCTCAGCACCTGAGCTGGGCCATGCCAGAAGGGCCAGCTTCAGACACAAAAGCTGAATCGTGACACACTGGAGCAGCAGGGGAACGAGGCAGCTGAAAGAATAAAGCCTGTAGAAAAATTCTTCTCAGATGTTTTTGACAGCCTGGTCTGCAAGCCAGGAAATGCTCCAGCATGTGGATCAAGGGAAAAACAAACAAGAGAGGTTTTGTTAAGTGCTGAGAACAGCGCCTGCAGTAGGCAGCAATACAATCCCCACTTGCTTCTACAAAAAGCCTTCCTGGAATCAGCAGGTAAGAGAAACACAAACCTGAATAACTGTTCTAGCTGATTCTTCATACTCTCCTTCTGCAAGCAGGCCAAGCTGGCTCTGACTTCACAGAAACAAACCCTGCAGTAACATCTGTAAAATCTCCTGGAACTAAATATAGAGGATTCCTTGCCACCAAAAGGCAGCCTGCTCTGAGGGGAGCCACAGCAATTTTTCGGTGGTGTGTTGAATAGTGGAGTACAAGGAAACTGAAAATAATTACTTATGGTATATGGAGAGAGAAGTGCAAAATGTGACAGGTGAGGAAACTGCTGCAACAGCCAGCTAGATATCCCTGAATACCTTCAGCCACAGACAGCTCCTTCTTTATTCTAACTTTTCTCCAAAATAATTCTGATATCCAAACCCCTTCGCTCTGTTTGAGGATTTGCACTTATGCAGAATCAGCAACACACGTTATTCTTCGCTTGAAACATCCTCCTGCAAGGCCCCAATGTCCTTAACTGTCTCCCAGCTTAATTCCCTCCCCATATGGGACAGCCACATAGCTGGAGCACAGCTGCCAGCAAGAAAAGCTCTCAGCTCCTTCTATTCACATCATTCATAAGCACTGCTCCGAGCTAAACAAGCAATCCCAGCAGAGCCCAGCAGAGCAAGAGCTCTGTGAATTCACTGTTTGTTCCTACTCTGGGACAGGCAGATGAGGTGCATGGAAGTCAGGCATGCGGGTCAAAAAGGTCCAGGACTCAGACTGATGCCTGCTACAGCTCAGGCACGATGTCAAATGTCAAGCCAAAGTGTGAACTCGGTCCTTCCATCAGCACACTCTGCTTCTGCAGCGTCCAGCAGCCAGCACCCCTGTGCTCCCATCAGCTGCTCTGCCTCCGAATGTGGGGCAACGACAGCCAGGCGGGTGCTCATCACAGCCCAGGGCCAAGCAGCACCAGCACAGTGGGGTCCAGACCGCCTGCACTAATGGGAAAGTCATGGGAACGTGACACGGCCCAGTGAAAACGGTCTGCAGTGATATGGGCTCAAAGGGGAACAGCCACAGCGTACACATCCGCTCAGAGAGGAAACTTAACAGTTACTTGTGGGCTCCAGCTCTTCTGCAGACCAAAAAAAACCATAACAAGAACCAGTTGTAACAAGCAAGTGCCATATTCAAATGAGAAAAGCAGCATGTATCTTAATTCTGAGGAATTATTTGTGCCACCGTATTTCCCCAGGGCGCCCCAGTCACAAACCACTAAGTCAAGCTATGGCGGAAATGGCAAGTTTTGTACATCTTGAGGTTTCCAGAGTTAAATTGGAGGTATTCCTGCAAGGTAACAGTAAAATGTTGCAGAGCAGATCCTGCTGAATCCTTCTGGCCTTCATTTCCACACTCAGCAACTACTGCTTTGCAGATAGAGGCCCAAACGTGTTCAAACACTTGAGCTTGCATGCTAACCGCTAATTAAGCTACCTCTGCTAATAGTCTTTCATTACATGCAGCACATGCAAGCATGCACATTATCAAAGTCATTTCAGACTCCTGATAGCAGCCATGGAACATTTGGAGTCATAAGCCACTAATAATCCTAAACCCATCACAGCAGTCACGCACCTGCCCTGCGTTCACACACCCTCTTAGCCTCCAGAGTCACGCAAGGCTCAGCTCTGCCTCCTTCCCATTCATATTTTTGCTACTTCATCAGGTCTTGTTTTTCAAGCTTGAGGGAGGACTTGGAATGAGTGACCTGAGGTCAGGATATCTTCAAACAGCTTGACAGGACACATCCTCTGCTAACCTGAAACAGGGGGCTCCCAAACTGTACTTCTGCTCCTTCTGAACTGCGGGAACACAAAATCCCTGCTTAAATTCTGCACATGCTCCTCAACTTTTGGGTGAAACAGTTGATCTATACTCTGTATCTACCCAATTTAGTATGGGTGTTGCCAACCTCTTCTCTGTAGTCATTTACACCTTTCCCTCAATCACTTCCCCCAGACCACGAGCCTCAGTAAACTCACATTTACCATCAACTAGATGCAACTCAGTGCCCAGTGGGTTAACACAAAGGGGGTTACTGGGAGGCAGCAGAGGCATGAGATGAACTTGTATTTAGCATGCCACTGCTACACTTTGTCCTAATTGCTCCCTCTCAGGAATGGGCTTAAATGCCAAGAGAACTTCCCTTCTTCGCACTCACGCAAGGTCCAACCAGTCAGACAGGCTTATCAAAACCAGGCCGATGGAGTTAAACAAACTCTGGCAGAAAGCAATCAAGGAGGCGACGTGTAAACCCACAAACAAGAATGCTACTGCAACAAAACTGAACGCCTGCCAACTTTAATTATGTTTGGGTTGGACAGTGCATCTTTATTGTTTGGTAATGAAGGTAATAAAATAAATTAGCTCAGGCCTTTTAATATTAAATAAATGTATTTTACAGCTGCCTGGAAAAAAAAAAGGCAGATATAGACTAAACAGTTTTGTGACACGCAGAGTATTGCTGAAGCCTGATTAAACATGAAGCATTCTCCGTTTATGAGGCACACTGTCCTGGGCACTAAACTGTGAACAAGTTCTCTCCTCGAGCTTCACTATGCAATCTTACACACACACTGGTTGGATTAAAACACCCTACACCAGCAGAAGTACTGAGCTAACTCTCCAGAAGTTAACAAAATACAAGTTTTTCCCCAAACAAGCCCAGTGCAACACTGACAACAGAAGTCCAAGCGCCACCCATGCTTACAGTGGCAGGAAAAGAAAAAAAGAGAGGGTTGCTGCTGGAGTAGCTCAGTGTGTAAGCCCCACCTTTTCTCTTGACTATTTCAGCAGCTCTCTAGCTGCTAAAATAGATACAGGCAAGCTGCAGGAATGGATGAAATGGAACTAGACTTTGGATCTCCTGAAAGCTGTATAGCAGCATTAATTCTTTCCTTTAGCAATAAATAACTCCAGGTTCCTGGAGCCACACAGCTCAGTCTAAGATGCAGTTACATGGAGTGGGTATAACTCTTCTCCAGTTGAGGTAGGAAGGACATTATTTGCTGTCTTTTGCTGGTTGTAAAGCTGGAGCCACCTGACTGCAGACTCAGCAAAACAGTTACTTGCCCCACAAACATGAATGATTTTCTCCATAACCTTAAGGGCTAGATTTTTTTTTTAAATCATCATTATTTTTAATTAAGACAAATTCTGCGGGAGTTCTGGCTGACCTTCCAGTGTCAGCCTCTCCCAGCATTAGTGCACAATTCACTCCAGCTGAGCAAAAAACCGTCTGAGGGACAAAGAGACTTTGCCCCATGACCACTTTGTTTTCTCCTGTGGTTGGATAAAATGAACTTAATTTGCACTCTACTCAAAGATCCCAGAAACACTTCACACATTCAATATACACAATTGCTGTAAGGCAGCCATCCATAGACTGAAGAGCTAAAAGCTACAGAGAGTAGAAAAGTCAGTCAAGGACATGGCACACAAAAAAAAGCTCCATACTGTCAGCATCATCCTCATAGAACAGACTCAGCCTTAGTTTTGGAGTCTGACCCCAGCACATAAGCTCTGCCTTGCTGAACTGATTTACTTATAAATATATACTGCAGTTATCTTCCACTATTTGCTTACCATGGGGAAAAAGAGTTTCTTGAAGGACGGGCCTGAATTCTGATTAGGGGGAGCACAGAGAAATACTGACACTTTGCCTGATTTTTTGAGCACAGTCCTGTTTTCACTTGACAATTTCTACAGCAGCCGAGTTTGAAAAATCCCACTTACTTTCAGATGAACCAGAGGTGGAAACAGCACATTTTCTACACTAACAGCATTAACTAGAAAAGACCTGCTTTGGACAAAGCCTTACAAGTACACCAGGGAAATAAATACATACCTGACCTATGTGGCATGCAGCTCTCCTCTTTACTCATCTGTGTGCTCATAAAGACACCGTCCTGGCAGACACCACTGCTCAAAAAGCAAGGCTTTGGGTACAAGCCCGTTGCATGCAGCTGCATGCAGCTGCACCCCCTACACCGTGTGGGAAAACAGAAAGTTGAGGTGTTGTGGCACATGAGAATTTCAGTCCCATTTCATGCCCACAGTCCAGGCAAGGGAGATTTTAATCCAGTATAATCATCATGAACTGCAACCCACAGTATGTATGTGGTATGTGCTAGCAGTGATTGAACAAGTGAAGAGGAGAGATGAACTGCAGAAAGGAATCATTTGGACAAACTAGTATGCTTGAGATTTATATTATATAATCACAGATGATGAACTGAGATACTCCATCCTAATGCAAACTCCTCTGAGATCCAATATACCTGCAGAGTGCTGGCTTTGCAGTTACTGCTAAAAGACCTGATCCCAAAACAACAGTGCTGTTCAAACAAAGATCGTTCCAGTGCTGACAGCCAACAGAAGGAACAGAGACAGACCTATGCTAACACACATTTAAATTCTCTAGCTGGACAGCTCTGGAAGTGGAAAAAAAAGATAGCTCACACCTCATACAGCCTTTCCAGGGAGGCAGATTTTTGTTAAACAGTTGCACTTCTCCTTTCAAGCCTCATGTACTGGTAAACAGATCAATAGCAGCCAGCCCAAAAGAGTAAAGGCTAATTACATATTTGGGAGCAGTGCATATGTGGAGTCCCATGGACGGACTCAGCTCAGTCATGGATCAAAGATCTGGTAAGTTCTATTAGCTTCAGGTTTTCATTTGTTTGCAACAGATCCCCATCTTCATTCCCCGTTCACTTGCTAGTATACCTATTTGGCAGCCTGGCTCTGTAAAATTAGATCTCAGGAAAGCATCCTGGTGGATTGAAGTGTTTATCAAGCTTTGCTTACATCCTACATGAAACAACTTATTTTAGTCAGTTATAAAAACACAGACTGGAAGCCCTGCAGATTAGTCTTTTGGAGAACTGGCATCAGCAGTGTGCTGGTTTTACCACTGCACAATCCCAGTTATTTCCTAGCTCCATGGAAACATGGCATAAAAGAGCATGCAAGGATTCACAGACTTCTTCCTCTCCCACAGTGACAAGAGCCGGTTATTAGCTCACTGTCAATCACCAGCACCACTTTGTTTGTGCTATTATAGCAGACAGAATAATCACTGTATCAACCAGAGCTCTTAAGACAATCATCTTCAAGATTAGCCTAGGGTAAAAAATTACAAAGTACTTCTTTTCTCTAACAAGCAAGTGCTTTTTGCAAGTAGAGCTTCCCTGAGGAGTCCAGAAAAAAACCTCTGTTGGGAGAATTCAAAAGCAGGGGAATTCTTGCATAGATATATCCAAAATCATGGCTTTTGAGGCTACTGGCACACTCATTTAGTTTCAGCAGCTGCTGTTTTTTGAGCCACTAAGAGGCAGGCTGCCTACAGCTTAGCATCCTCCTTCCAGTTGCTAAACAAAGAAATCAGGATTGTTTTTTTTCAAGTGACAGTCCATCATTACTCCAAGCATACTGATTATCTTTCTGTCCCTCGGAGAGCTGACTCGCCTCAAAAAGCACTAAACTGAATGCCAGAAACAGCAGGCAAGTTACAGCTGTTTACAGGAGCTTTTGCTAGATAGCCATTCGCATTTCCTAAGCAAAAGTAAACTTCCTCAGCAGACACAAAGGAAGTCATCCTCTGTGGGAAAAACATCTAGAGACACAGCGCTGGGACACTTTTATCATCATTCACAGGACTGTGAACGTGCCCAGCTCAGCACAGGCAACAGGGAACTGTAGTTGTCAATACCCTGCCCATTGTGTGACACGACAGCTTTTCTTTCAAACAAATCCAGAATTCCATAGGGGAGACTAATCACCCAACAGTAGCTAATGAGGCTAGCGAGACCCTCCAAGTACAGAGGGGAGTCATTTACCACCCTCCCTGTGCAGGCTTGCCAAGAACAAAACAAGAAAACAGCAGTGCTTTCACTGGGCTGCTCCCTTCAGCACACTGCAAACAGGGAGCCAAGAGTTTCCATAGTAAAGGACGATGGTGTTTAGCAAACACGATTTCATTTTAATCCCCTGAATTTACTTACTGATGCTTGCTGTTTATTGCATGTCAGAGTTTTCCTCCCAGGGCCTGTACTGCTAGAACACCATATTAGCCATACTTCTCAAATTGGCAGCTAACAGTAGGTTAGCTTTTGTTTCAGACTAGACATACATAGAGGCCCTGTCTCCTCTCAGACAAGCCAGCTGGAAGATGAATTGACAAGTAGTAAATTTAAAAAAAAAAAAAAGTAAATCACATACAAAAATGAAGAAGTGCTTATTCACACAGCACACAGGCCATTGGTGGAGCTTCTTGCCACAGGACACTGTATGGATACTGAAAGCTTGCACAGATTTAAAAAGCAATAGGTTAAATTAAGCAGAAGAAAAAAAGCCCCATCAAAAGCTATTAATACTGAACTATCACTTCTGCTTCAGGAAGTCTTAAAATTGTGAAAGACAAAGCACTCAGAGGAAAGTCTTACTGCATGTTTACTCTTTTCTTTCACTTTTCCTTAAGTACCCTTGGAAACACAACACTGAGTTGGACAAGTTCTGATACGACTCAGTATGTTTTTCTCTCATTCGAGGCCAGAACAGATCTATAGGAAGATGGATGACACAAATGGAAAACTATGATATCATTGTATAGCAGAACCATTAAAAAAAAGATGGTTTTTAAAAACTGAAAAGCAGCAAATCAGTACAAATGAATCAGCTTACTTCTCTGAAGTGTTTCACACCCCAGATGGGGTTTCTGGACAGAAAGACAGATCAAGGATCTGATCACACTTCTGCTCAGTGGCCAGACCACCAGGATATCACCTATTTAGTGTCTCTCTATAAAAAGATCTGAAGTTTGATTTTATTTTGATGTGGAAAAGAAACGTTCCTGGAATGCAAAAGTTCCTTCACTCCTACATTTTGCAAGTGTTAGAAAGCATGCAAACCAAAGGCAGGACACCACAACTGAAGTTACAGGGAATCTGCACCTAAATGTAGCATAAAGCACATATGCTACACTTGATAGCAAGTGTATGTAGAGAAATAAAAAGACTGCTTATAGTAAAATCCATTCACGTACATAAGCAGCTCTGGTGCTTGGTCACAAAACTACTACTGAACATGAAATGAGAACAGTTCTAGCCTTCCCCAGAGCCATGGATTAGGATGTGAACAACTGCTCTCCGCATTTCGATTTTAGGAGCACAGCCTCCCTGCAGGCAGGCAGCTCGCTGATCCACCCTGCTGCCTCCCCCTCTATCCAAGCACCTACCTAGTGGCAGCAACGACCAGAAATCGGACTTGCAGGATAACATCTGGGCAACAGCTGGCACCAGGAAGCTCAACTAGTTTCCCCCAATAATACACTTGATGAATACTTCAACTCAAGCATCTGCCTGGAAGTTTTTCTTTCCTTTTACAATTAAGACTAAGGTGAAGCAAAGGAGAGAAAGACACAGCCGGATCTCAGAACACATACTTTACATGCATGTCTATGCTATGTTCATCAGATTTCTGGGGCTTGATCTTTCACACAGCAGCAATGTATAGTAAGGTGGGGGGGACCCCACATAAAAAGCCTTTTGTACAAGGAATGTTTGGAATTACGGATGGAAGAGCCAGAACTCTTTCTTTTTACACCAACGACATTTAAAGTTCCACAAAACCATGCAGAAATATAGAACAATCACCTGAAGAGTGTCAGAAGCACATGAAATCTCCTGCCTTTTACCAAGAAAATACGAATGACGATGTGCAACCGTGTACCAGAATCCTGAGACCATCCCTCCCGCTCAAGAGCCAGCAATCAAGTCCATGCAGGTTCATCATGCTACTGAAATCAACACAAGGATTCAAATGGCTCTTATTCAGGTTCCATTCTTGTTATCCAACCATCAGTTTGTTCCCTACTGCAAAAACACTTACCTCGTTGCCCTATCTGAGCAGTTTTTATCTCAGAAATATTGCAAATAAAGGCTGTATGCTGATACAAGGCACAGATCCAATCTTAGGTAAATGAATGCCCTTGCTTGTACCACTTAAGCTGACAGACACCCCTTGGGGAAACAATCCACCACATGTGCCCCAGAAAAGCCACAGAGTTTGCATCCTTATCAGTAAGGGACGTGGCATACCCGTGCAGAATTCTTTGTTAGCGTTCTGGGGTACGACAATCCTTCTATAGACTATGGGCTCCGATTCCAAGATGTTCTCGTCGTGCCGATAGCGAGCTGGTTTCTCATTTGGGGTCCCCCGGGAACGAGTGCCACTCCTCCTCTCATAAGTTTCAATCTCTTCAAACACAGCTGCCTTGTCAAAAAGGGCCAGGTTCCCTTCGAAATCAAAATCTGTGTCTGGGATTTCATCAATGTCATCCCCGAAGCACTCATCATCTTTGCTCTTCATCTGCCCGTTTTTCAGGCCACTCTTCTTTGGAGTCACTTGGTTTGGATGACGGCTACTGGATGACCCTAAACAAAAATAAAAGCAAGTTGAAAGTGCGTCATAAACGGAAAAAGCCACGTTTGCTCATACCCTTTGCAAACTTTTGGGAGAGGGGAGCTCATGCTTGCAGTCCACCGACTCAAGGGATACTCGCTTCCCAAAGAAGCTGTGGACCTCATCTTTGGCATTACTCACGCCAAGATAAGCTAACAGAAAATAGAACAAGGGCATCAGGAGAGAGACTTTCAGGGACTTTCCACTGGCAAGGTTAGAAAAACAAGCTTGACCACAGTAGCAAAGCAAACGCTTCTCCACACTTTTATCTAATTCAAGATGGTGTCACATTAGTGATAAGGTAATAAGTTAGCCGTGCTCTGCAACAGTTTTCCTTCTATTCTGAGCTCATGTTCATGCAGGCATGTGGCCCAAGACCTCCTTTGGAGTTTCCCTAAATTTCAGAAACTAATCTAGCTGTTTTCGTTCTTTTCAGGCTTGCCATCTGTTAATGATCTTTAAGGGAGAACTTAAAGCTCTGAATATAAAGCATTTCTTTTTCCTCACACTTGCTACCAATAGGTACACATTTCTGTACCGATATGAAGTCCATTTCCTTATTCCTATTTCATTATTCTACTTATTCATCATCTTGCATGTTTAAGTACACTTCTTTCCAATCACAGGTAATTGTGAAAGCCTGATTTCTCTGGAGTGAGACTGATTAAAGTCTCTTCATTGCCAGTTTATGGTTGGAGATCAAGGACTGTTACAAAACCATATGCAATTACCAGGTCAACATAGCCCTTTACTCGCTTATTTCTTACATCAGTATTCAAGTCACCCCTACAAACTCAGGTCTAGACAATATTAATGTTTGTCATACCCATTGTTAAATTTGCAATTACCAGAAAATATTTCAGGCCAATTCCAGCAATTACAGATACTGCCTACAGCATCCAACAGATGGAGTCAGAGTTATCACACCAAAACTGCTTGCTCTACTAAAATATTTCTCATAATGATAATCACCTTTGTGAGTAATTTATACAAATTAATTTATTGGCAAAATCCATTTGATAACACAACAACAAATTGCCACCAAGTTACCATGATGATGTGAGCTCTTTATATACCTCCTCCATAAATTAAAAAGCAGCATTTTTTTGTCTTTATACATTATTGTCAATCAGTGAGAAGATAGGGAGAATTTCAAGTTATCTAAGGATACTTAGAAAACATCTCAAAAAGATCTGCAATAGGCACAATCTTCATGGCTTCCCACAAAGTTACCTGTCACCTTTGTAAGTGCAGACAAGTCTAGGTTGGTCTTGACAAATCCCCCCTTCTCCCTGCCTGGAAAGGCCTATTTGTAACCTCGGGTCAGACTGGCGGAACAGCCGAAAGCTGCCTAACAAACCCGAGCTCTGAATTCCCCCATTTCCAAAGTGTGAAATCCTCCACTCCATGGACAGGAGCAGCACTTCCCCCAGAAAGTGAAGGGCCTCCCTCCTGTCAAACGTTTCTACAGGAGTCTTTATTCATTTCAGGATCAGGATGGAAACCAGCATAGTCAAGACCAATGGGCCAATTTTAGCCAAGTTAACAAACAGAACTCATCTCTCTACAGTAAAGTTATTCAGTAGCTCAATTATGTAACTTAAAATGCTGCTGCTAACTCCAGAACACCCATATGACTACCTGAAGCCTTTACAGAAAATGCTATAAAACCACACGGGAGCAGAGCATGTTTTCCTAGAAGATAAAGGCAGGCTTGCCTGTTATCAAGGACTTTTTAAGCTCTGGAAAATTTGTTCACCTAATATCACGTCTGACTTACACCACGCTGAATAATGACTTGCTAAGGATACATACTTGGGTTTATTCTCAATTAGGAATGCATTGTTTCAGCAAAGATTTTCCTCCATTTATTTCTTCCCTATATTTTAGGCAGAACGTCACTTTTGTTTTTCTAGAGAACTGTTCCAGTGACTAACCTGAAAGCTTTCCCAGCCCCCACAGCAAGGAAGTTCTTTGAAATGCTTGGCAGCTCCTTCTCTGGAGCATGTCTCAAGTACCTGAGCTAAACAAAACAGACCTGAACACCCTAAAACTCCCTCTCAAAAAGCTGCTGCAGCTTCAGTCTCCAGTTATGCTATTGTCCAGCAACAACAAAAAAGCACACAAGAAGTCAGAGTCCAGTATTTCACACCTTGAAAAGCAGGAGATAAGACCCCAAACCTCCAGGGTTTTGAAGCACGATTGTTTGACATTAAAAAAAACAAAAAACCAAACCACAATAATAATAGTGGTAGTGAAAGTAGTTTGTTGTTCTGGTCTTTTTGTTTGTTTTGATTATGGCAACAGTCTGAGTGCTCAACTTATACCAGTTTAAAAACAAGTTTTGCTCAAGCATGCGTGGCAAGCACTGAAGAGACTGGAAGAATCAATTTTCCTCAGCGTTACCGCCTGGCCTAACGACAGATGTCAGCTTTTCCCTTTTCATCTCCAACACCGTTGTATCATTACAGCTACAGCACTATGTTTAAAAAGTATCTTAAAGGCCACCTACAAAATTACAACAGCTAGTAGCACACCTCTCACAGCAACAAAGCTACCCAACTATTGCGTTTACCATAACCTCACTGCATCATGAAAATCACTGACCACAGCACAAAGCCACTTACCTCATCAAAACAGCAGTATCAGTGCAACAGCCAGTGTGAAATACCTATTCTGCACATCCTGGAGCAACTGAAACTAGCAGTACAGCTTTGAGTGGTCAGCGTTACCACACTTTGACAATACACTCTATTTATAGAATCTCTATTTATAATAATTTGAAATTACTACTAACTACAGCAGGTCATTTATTTTCAGACACAGTGATTTTCAAGCTACTGGAGATGTCATCGAGTTTTTATAAACAACCAGGTGAGAACTGAAATACAGTGTAACACACCTTTTGCCAAGAAGCCACTGAAGGACAGACAGCAGAATTCAAGAATTGCTGGTGACAAAACACGATTTAGGAAAGTGGAAAGGGTAAGGCTTTCTGGCAAGGGGAATTCCAGTAGGCAAGCTGTGACCACTCATTTACATGTATAGTTTTGAGAGAAAAAGAGAGCTTTTTACTAACACACAGCTTTCACTCTCTGCCCTGGATAAAGGATTCCCAAACCAAATTTGACATCTAAACCACTCCAAAGTTGTGTACAACTTGGTATGGAGCTAGCAACTGCCACTGCTGACAAGGGGATCACATCCAACGCTGCTGCCGTCAGCCACACAAGAAATGAAAACCCAGACCAACACAACAGGCCAAGTCCTCCAAAAGTTCTTAAACTCCAGGTCGAAGAAATAGTCAAGGGACCCTGTGAGTTCAGATAAATAAGCTAGAGCCCACCCTGAACACAGTAGCAAACAAGCCTGCTTCTTGTGATGGCAACTCAGTCCGTTCCTGTTACCCAACAAGAGTTTGTATGCTCATTGCCAGGTACTTCTGCAAACAACTCCATGCAACCCTCGGCTGACCTCAAAAGCAAAACGTGGGGATTGATGCACCACCACGCAGTGGATCCAGGGGACAGAAGCAGCTGATGTGAGCAGTGTATAAACGCTGACAGGAATAAAAAGCTGCACTAGAAAAGCTGTGAGAACAATGGCTGGAAAGCTCCCCAGGCTCCCCTGCAGACACAATGAAAGGGAGCCAAGACCGTACCTCATCAAAACGAGACGTGCCGGCATTGTGGTGGGCAGCTCTCTAATCCATACCGATGGATGCCAACTCTGAAATACTGCTGACCCACACAACTGGCTGTCTTTTCACAGACCACATTACAACCTTGTCACAGAAGTTGCACAGAACAGGGCAGAGCCTCCAACGAGCTCTGAGCAAAGTTACGCAGTGCTCCTCTTAAAGCATCGCCATCTAGACAGGCAAGGAGACCTGCAGCTGATTTCATTCAGGGAAAATAGGAGAAGAGCCTAAAAAGAGGGCAAGGGGAGGGGAGGGAAAACTCAGACTTAAAACCAACAGAAGTGTCCACTGCCTTCCAGGGCACTACTGTGACACACCAGACCAAGCCATTGCCTGAAAGCTGCTATTCACAGCTACGCTTGCTTCCATGGCCTGATCCAGGTGGCTACAGCAAGCCAGACCTTCTAGTCCAGCTCCTTCTGGATGGCAACTTCCAGAGCCTCTGCCCTGTGTGTGTATGCATGAAGCTTATTAAGGAGAACAGCACATGGCTCCACGTCAAGTTGGCAGCTTGACACTGCACAGAAAAGCGCCTCCCTCAAAAGATAAACAATACTTCCCAGGCTTTTTTTGTTTCTGAGGAAAAAAACCTTTCATGTTTAGCACACAAGCAAACGTAAAGTCTCTAGAGAGCTGGCTGCCTTCCTGTGAGATCCCTGTGGGAGCTTTTGCTGCCAGCCCTGGCATGAACGAGCCTGGTGCCAGCACAGCACAGAAGCCATTGTTGTGAAACCTGCGTTGGTATTTGTTGTTTATTGATTCCTGTCACACAAGTACTCCAAAAGGGGAACTTTGTCCCTGACTTAGCACGCTAAAGGGCATCAAGAGGTCAACTTTCAGCTGTACTAAACCCTGTATGACTGGAGTTCTAGATGACATCTCAGCCCATTCTCCCCCAGACACCCATACCCATCATCTCCATAGGGCCAGAACCTCTTCTGTCCCCCTCCCCAAATTCACACATCATTCGCCCTGCTCTCCAAATACCCTCTAAAATGTGTGTAAGAGTTCACTTCCCTACCTCATGTATTCTAAAATTAATCCAAGCTAACAATAATCTGTATCTAGCACCTTCCTCTACTTGTTTCAAAGTCTGTAAAAGAAAATCTGACCTGCTGTTTGTGCTTATGCAAAACTGACACAAGCTGTTTGTGGGCTGAAGTGGTTTGAAGTAGTTACTGTTCACCCCAGACCTACCAGACACTGGCAAAACAGTGTTAAGTCCGGTAATCCTCCTACACGCTCCAGCCAGCCAGAATAAAGCAAAGCAGAAGTTATTTTAGATATTTAGGTAGCTGACCTTGAAGTTTTAAAAAGTTTTTTCTAAAAACAACTAAAGTTAAAGTAACATACTCAAACAACTGGAATTTACAAAGGGTTACTGAATGAAAAAAAAAAAAAATCTCAAAGGAACCACAGTTCTCTTCCTATAGCAAGCACCACAGAGCGTTTAGGCCTACGTAGAGGTACAACACTCAAAACCAGACCAGCTTGAAGATGGTTAGGTCACCAAGGAGTGTGCGCCTCCCCCTCCACATCATTCTGGCCTTCCTCCTCCTGTGGATGCCATTTGGCAATCATTTAAATAAAGTGAAAATGAAAAGAGTTACAACCCTTTCAGAAAATAACACAGCTGTTGGTGGGGGAGAAAGTCTTCTGGAGGTCCAGAAATTTCTCCACAAAAATATAGCCTTTCATCTCCCTGTTTAACTGGCCTTACCCACCTTGGGTTTGTTGCTTTTCTAAACACAAAAGCAAGGGGAAAAAATGAAGTCATAGAAACACGCAGGATACATACTGATGCTTCAACAATTAAGTCATGGAAATATGCTGCATATACACTGACATTTCCATAATTGCATGATGAAGATCTGGAAAGCAGCACAACCCAGAGGGCTTTGAGAGAAAAAAAAAAAAAAAAGAAAAAGAACATACCCAATTTTGGCACAGCATGAGAGATGGCTGAAGATTTTATGAACAGAAATAAAAATAACGGATGCTTGACTTCGAGATGCACTGATTGTATCTTTACATCATCCTCATTAGAGCCAGTTAATTTGTATTTTTAACAACACAGCACATAACATTTGTAATTACTTGTGGGGTGATGTTGTAATAGGTTACGGTTATACAGGCTTTAAATAGAAAAGCTTTACAATATTGCAATTTGTTTCCAGTTCCTTTTAGAGGAAAAATGGACCCTGGTAATTGGGTAATTTTCAAATAGAAAAGATAGTAGGAATGAGGAAATCACTGTAACCAGCATTATTTGGCTCTACATTTTCTAACATTTGATGCTGGTGAAGCAGAATAATACACAAGGTAGAAGAGGGAATATTTCCACTAATTAAACTTGAATATTCACTTTAACAAATAAATTGTTAAAGAAGTATTTGGATTTTATGTAAATCAGCGTCAACCACACTTCTTTCAGAAATGCTGCAGTAAAGAAAACACCTGTATGTTGGTCTTTGCATACTCAAGGTTATGGGTGAGACTGCATCACCATTTAAAGGGGAGTGACAGACATTTGCAAGAGCTATACTTGTAATACTTTGAGGCACAGCTTGTGAAGACTCTCCTCATTATTTAACTTCCTCTTCTCCAGAACTTCAGGTGGCAATACAAGTATAAAAGCAAACAAAAGTTTCCAGCACCATTTGAAGTGTTCTTGAGGAAGGAGGGAAGATATTGCAGCGGTAACCCAGGCAGGCAGAAAGGAAAGTTGCAGGGTAACATATCTACTCACAGGAATTGTGTCTACGACGGAAGCCTTTGGACTGAGTCAGTGTTTCCATGTGTCGATCCATGTAGCTCTTGGAGCACTGCTGCTGTGGAGAGATGATAATATCCTGATTCTTCATGTCCATTCTCCTTGGGATATTCTGTGGGGCACTGCTGGAGACAGGCTTCTTTAACACTTTCCCAGTGCCATTCTGACTGGGACCCACTTGGCATCCAACACCAGGGATGCTCATTTCTGTCTGTTGCAGATCCCCACATTGTCTGCTGTCCCCTGGCCCTGGGATCTCAAGAATTTTCAGCTCAGTAATGTCACCTGCCCTAAAAACAGCAAAAGAAAAACAGACATTCAGGAATGTCTCATTTGACACACATCTGCAAAAAATAACCTCTGAAGAAAAATGTGCAACATTGTACAGTGGTTTTTTTCTGATGTCACTATCAATAGAAACAAGAAAAAAATAAAAGGATTTTAATGTTCAAACACACCAGATGTTTCCACAGACATCAAAATATTAAACTGAAATTACATGAATCTTCAAAATAACAACTCAAGTATTTCTATAGCGCACTTGGATTTTGCTTGAAAGGTTCTGTTCCTAGCTGAAACAGGAATCAAACAGAAAATGGAAGCAACAAGCACAGACAGACCTTTGTAGAAACCTGCATTAATTCAACAGTTTCTAGATAATACAATTAATCTCAGCCTGGAGGCTATTACTTTTAATCCATTTCTGCAGAAAGCTACCCTTAGATGACTGCAATTCACGCTCAGACAAGGATGGTGCTTCCCATTTTCTCAGAAGAGGGATAAAGAAAACCAATGTAGCACTGGGCATGAGCCAAAACCAAAGAACTGGTTACAAAGACCTCCATTTGCACTGACTGCAAGAAATGAACAAGAAATTAAATGTCCCCTACTTTAAACTTAATAGGTTTTTGTCCAAATGGGATATAAAAGTAGCAAGAGCTTGCTACAGACTTCCATACTTCTGGAAGAATATGGTTGTTGTCTTTCACCACTCACTCTCTTCAAAATCCAAGGGGGGAAAAAAAAAAAAAAAAAAAAAAAAAAAAAAAAAGAGTATTGACTTCGGGGAATCAATTTTATTTAAAAATCAGTGACTCAGACTCCTAACTATCCTAATATGCCAGGTAACAGCAAAATTTCCAGAGATGAGTGACTCTTACTTATTCTTTTTAAGCACAGTGCTACCAGGAGCTGGTGGGAACTCCTGAGAGCTAAAACACTGCTGCATCAATTCAGCTTTGTGGTTCAAAACTCTCCCCTGTCTACATAGAGGAAAGAACATGGCAAGAAACAGAGTGGGATGGAGCTGAATTTAATAACTGCACTTGATTTAACTGTATTAGGGCAATAATTTTAATTGATCTACCCCTCCGCTTTCTCTTCTGGCACACTTTAATTACATATAGTATACAGGCTGAAGGCAAAGCTTTCAGAGAGTATGCCAGCCCCCCCAGCTACCCAAAAACCTAACGACACAATGTATACACACATACACAGCCTCACCCACAAATAACCTCCAAGTGTGAGCTACACCGCTTCTAACACAGGAATCACAGAGACAGAAAATAATCTGCACACAAACAGAAACATAAGAGGTACTTCTCATCCAAAGATGCTCAGCAGCAGTAGGGAGATTTAAGGCAAAGAGCTCACTTCTGGGGAAAACCAAAACAAACCACCCAAACTAGATGCAGACCTTGCCTGGAAAAAGGCAGGAGAAAACAAACCACCCAAACTAGATGCAGACCTTGCCTGGAAAAAGGCAGGAGGAAAAAAGACACTAACCTGAAGGTGACTTCTGGCACGAGGCACTTGACCCCATTATGGAAAGGCCGCGTCAGGGAAATGGTCTGGCTGACCTGATCCACAGCAGACACTCGTCCTTGATAGACTCCCAGGCTTTCTCCACAATTAATTGACACGATGCTCCCAAGCCAGTCCGTAGCCATATTTCTGGCACACAGTTGCTGTAAAGAGACACAGGCCTGGCCGTAACAAGATGCAGAAAGTGACAACCTGAATCAGCATCAACTGCATCCCCCAGCCCAGAACCCTGGCTCCCACCCAGGCTCCAGCTTTGTCAGCTTCTCTCTTCTTTGTGGGGTGGAAATCACATCCCCACAGACACCAACGATCCCAGCGAGCGTGTAAATCCCTGGATGGGGCTTTGCCTATACTATTGTTTGTAACGTGCATCGCCATTTGCATCATTAAAGGAATAATTTTCTAACTGAATTCAAGACTAACAGCTTCCAGCAGCAATATTTAGTCCTGTCTGCAGACATTCTCCCTGTAATTTCAAACACGGAATACACATTCAAATGACAACCAGCACCTTTAAAGGAACAGATGGATACAGAGGGGGAAAAAAAAATAATGCTGTAGTTCAGGACAAAAATGTTCATGCTCTTCAGAGCCACAGTATTACTGCCATAATTAGATAAATGAAAAAAAGAAAGTTGTACTCCTTTCCAGCATCAAGTTCTACCAGAACACGGAAGGAAAATTCACTTGGTTTAGTTATACAGTCCCACGTTAATTCCCTCAGTTGTGATGCTTGACTGAACTTGTATCAACACACTTTGAAGCAGCTAAGCACATCTTTTGATCAGAGATTTCTTCCTCCAGACAAAGAACACAGGAAGATGACAGGCTCACTAGCATCATGGTAGCGCAAAAGAGCTGACAAGCTCATAAATGAAAATGACTACCGTATATATTTGCCTGTCATGATGTAATCAACAGTAAGAGGGAGAACACTTGATATTTACTGTAAGGAACACAAAGACAGAAAGCACAGCAGATAACCCAGGAAGATTAACATCAATATATAAACCACATCTCTGTGAGTGTCATTTTAATTCTCTTCAAGCCCTTCCTGTCCTGAGATTCTTGGGAAAAGATGCAAGGAAAAAAACCCTGGCAATAACTAGAAGGCATGCATGTTAGCAGAAAAAAAACCACTTCCCCCAACTTTCAGGGGATTGAAAACAGGGGATGCTTCAAAGGGAAGCAAACACTAAAATTGGTCACTAAGCCATAAATTTGTCAGGATCAGCCTCCTCTCTTTCCTGTTTTTGTGTATTTATATTAACCCATGATGACAACGTCTGAATTCCAAGATAACAGCTGATAAAAAGCACTTTCAAAAGACAGGTAACACATTCTCAAGTATCTGCATTAAAACTAAAATTTCATTCCCTTTCCTGCTTTTTGTGTCTCTCTTTGAAAACAAGGGAAAGAGTTCAGTACACATCACCATCTTACAGAGATTCTTCCAAAAATAAGAGCCTCCTTTTATCAAGAAAAAAAATTAAATCTTTGTTTGCATGCAAACATAAACAAGGAAAGCTCCTCAGCTCAAAGGATCTCATTCTACTACTCTGTGTGCAAATCATTTAGAAGAGAGAATGAACTACATGTGCAGTGAATGATTTACTTCATCACATATGAGAAACATGAGCACACTTGTTTGTTTACATACACCTGGGAAGTCAAGCCTCCTGTCTAATATTCTGGGCTTTTGCCATACAACTCACATATCTTATATTCCCCTACATCTCTTATTTCAAGTGTGTATTACTGCTATGCCTGAGAACCTTGCAAGTTTTAAGAGAAAGTTAAGCCACAGCGCTTACTCAAATTACACATGCAACACTTTAATAAACAATTTATAAGCAATAACTTCGCACATGATGAGTCAATAGCTTTGCACACCGAGCACTGCTGCTTGAGAAGATGCCACTGTGCATATTCTCCCTAGCTGAAAGGTGAGTTAGCACTGAGCTGGCCTCATTTATGAGGAAAGCAGCCACCGAGCCTACCCACTCTGCACCTGAGAGACAAGCTCGCATGGGGTGTCTGCTCCCAGCGAGGCTCACCTCCCCGGACTGGGTCAGGGCGGGCTGCCAACAGCCCCACAAATAAACACAGGCTCCCCACAGCCCGCCCCTGCGGGGACCCCGCCAAGAGGCGGCCTGCTGGGGCTTGGAGCACGGGGAGGGAGGCGCTCAGCCCAGCCTCCACGGGCCTTCCCCTCCCCAGCCATCCGCCGGCCCCAGCTTCCCCACGACGGCCAGGCCAGGCCAGGGAGGGCCTGGCGCCACGGCCGCGCTTCACGGGAGGCCCGGGCGAGGCCCAGGCCTCTACCGAGAGCCCCGTCTC